GTCGGGGCTGCTGGTGACCAAGCAGAAGATCGACCGGGACCTGCTGTGCAGGCAGAGCCCCAAGTGCGTCATCTCGCTGGAGGTGATGTCCAGCTCCATGGAGATCTGCGTGATCAAGCTGGAGATCAAGGACCTCAATGACAACGCGCCCAGCTTCCCCACTGACCAGATCGAGCTGGAAATCTCGGAGACGGCCAGCCCCGGCTGGAGAGTGCTTACGACCCAGACTCGGGCAGCTTTGGTGTGCAGAGCTATGAGATCACCCCCAACGACCTCTTTGGGCTGGAGACCAAGACACGGGGTGATGGGTCCCGCTTTGCCGAGCTGGTGGTGGAGAAGAGCCTGGACCGCGAGACCCAGTCCCACTACAGCTACGTGATCACGGCGCTGGATGGTGGCGACCCACCCAACTTCGGCACGGTGGAGCTCAGCATCCGCGTCATTGACTCCAATGACAACAACCCGCTCTTCGAGGAGCCGGCCTACACCGTCAGCGTGCCTGAAAACGCCCCGCCGGGTACACCGGTCATCCGCCTCAACGCCTCCGACCCGGACGAGGGCACCAACGGCCAGGTCCTCTACTCTTTCCACAGCTACGTCTCCGACCGGGCCCGGGAGCTCTTCCAAATCGACCCCCAGAGCGGCCTCATCACAGTGAGCGGTGCCATCGACTACGAGGAGGGTCACGTCTACGAGCTGGATGTGCAGGCCAAGGACTTGGGGCCTAATTCCATCCCTGCCCATTGCAAAGTGACCATCAGCGTCCAGGATGCCAACGACAACCCGCCGCTCATCAACCTGCTCTCTGTCAACAGCGAGCTGGTGGAGGTGAGCGAGAACGCCCCGCCGGGGTACGTCATCGCCCTGGTGCGGGTCTCAGACCGCGACTCTGGAGCCAACGGGCGGGTGCAGTGCAAGCTCCTGGGCAATGTGCCTTTTCGGCTCCAGGAGTACGAGAGCTTCTCCACCATCTTGGTGGACGGACGACTGGACCGGGAGCAGAGGGACCAGTACAACCTCACAATCCAGGCCAAGGACAATGGTGTCCCCTCCCTGCAGGCCACCAAGTCCTTCACTGTCAAGATCACCGATGAGAATGACAACCATCCTCATTTCTCCAAGCCCTATTACCAGGTCATCGTGCAGGAGAACAACACCCCGGGGGCCTACCTCCTCTCAGTCTCGGCCAGGGACCCTGACCTGGGCCTCAATGGCAGTGTCTCCTACCAGATCGTGCCCTCCCAAGTCAGGGACATGCCTGTCTTCACCTATGTCTCCATCAACCCCAACTCTGGAGATATCTATGCTTTGAGGTCCTTCAATCATGAACAGACGAAGGCTTTTGAGTTCAAGGTCTTGGCAAAAGATGGGGGTAATCCATCTCTGCAGAGCAATGCCACCGTCAGGGTGATCGTCCTGGACGTCAATGACAACACCCCTGTGATCACGGCCCCGCCGCTGGTCAACGGGACCGCGGAGGTGTACATCCCCAGGAACGCGGGGGTCGGCTACTTGGTGACGGTGGTCAAGGCAGACGACTATGACGAGGGTGAAAATGGCAGACTTTCCTACGAAATGGTGGAAGGAGACAGAGGATTTTTTGAGATAGACCAGGTCAATGGAGAGATAAGGACCACCAGAGCCTTTGGGGAGAACGCAAAGACAGCCTACGAGCTGATCGTGGTGGCTCATGACCATGGAAAAACATCTCTCTCGGCTTCCGCCTTGATTTTAATATACTTGTCTCCAGCCCTGGATGCCCAGGAGTCCATAGGATCTGTTAACCTCTCCCTGATTTTCATTATTGCCCTGGGGTCTATCGCAGCCATTCTTTTTGTCACCATGATCTTCGTGGCAGTCAAGTGCAAAAGGGATAACAAGGAAATCAGGACCTACAACTGCAGGTAAAGACATCTTTGTTTCTGTGCACCTGCCGGGTCTGCTTTGATTTTTGCCATCACAGTTACTTTTCCATTTGCTGCTGTATACTTGGGGGGGCGGGGGGGTCAGATTTGCTTTAGGAACAAAAGTGAGGTTCCCGTCCCTCTAAGAACATTTCCTGCAAAGCTTTAAAAAAATTGTTCTCTGGGAGGAGAGCAGAAATCCGTGCCGAGTAACGAATTGACTTAATTGTGCGGCTTGACAATCTGTTGCAGCATCCCTGATTTTACACGCTCCGTCGCAGGAAGGAGGAAGAACAGTTTTATAGCGGCATGGTTGGTTCCCGTGGGCAGCCCCCCGTCCCCAGCACAGCTCCCCGGTGCTTGCGCGGTGGGGGGGAGCAC